ATTTGCACCGGGTGTCCGAGTCTCTTTGAGCCCCGACTAATCCCGGGGGTGCACAGGCCCTCGGCAAGGAGTTTCCCGCAAGTGCACCACGGTTAATTCAGGTTTTACCCAGTCCGATGGCCCTCAGAAATTGTTTGCACCCAGTGGGTTTCGAACTTGAGACCTTGAAAGGGAGCAAACCCCAAGGCTCAAGTCAATTGCCAGCAGGCCAACCCCTGAGGGTTAAGTTTTATATACAAATACTTTTAGGATAATATTTTTTGCTTAGGGTACCAAACACAAGAAAATAAGTAAGAAACCCACTTTATTTTCCTAGATAACATTTTCCAAGAATTTATTTTTCATGGAAATATTTTACATCGTACCGATCACACCCATAGTCATTTCTTTTTATCCTTGCCCACATAACAGATTTCATCTGATTTTCTCGGAAAAAATTAGTCATTTCTTTTTTCCCCTTAAAGGTTCTGATTAATGAGGGATAGTTTTTGTCATATTAAAAGGCCAAAGCATGCTACAAGATTCATTGTTCTCCCCCTCTCTTACCCTCAAGCCTCGATCAATAAATTTGGTTGGCGGTTGGTGCTACACTGTTACGGTTCTCCTGCTGTGTTTTTCTATTGTTCCTTTTTTGCTATTGCAATGTCTCAAGATAACGAAGTGACAATGCAAAACAAGTACAGAAGAAATACACAACAGAGATTCTACAAGTAAAATGAAGGAGACAAATATATGAGTTTCTTATCTGCTTACTTTTTCCAAGTTCTTTCTCTAATTCTAACAAATACTCTTCCATATTAATAGAATGTCTTGTAAGGCATATATCTCATGCCTCGAGACATAGGCCTCTCCTCATAGCAAGGAAAACCAATTGCCTTGCATTTTTTTCCTTTTAAAACGTTGATTCAACGATCTCAATTGTAGGAATTAGAAACCCCAAGGGGATAAGATTTGATGCAGACAATGTCTAAAGGAAAACTTTGAGCCTCATGTTGTTTCCACGGGGGAAATTATAGCAAAAATACACCCTAAGATTTAATGGATACCTATTAATGCACATGGGATATTATAGTGAGAAACATCCTACTACAATTTGAGTAACTTTAAAAAGGCATGGCACCCTCTAAAACGTCACCTAGCTCCCCTCCAAAGATTGTTTGGAGAAATTTCTATGTTGGGAGGAGGTTTAGAAAAGATTCATGAAAGAGAGGCTACAAAACTGGAGGGGAACTTGTAAGACTATAAACAATTGATGCAATACATGCCATAAAAGGTATCACGCGCTTGCCCTATTAGTGTTTCAAGTCTTCCCTCGTTTAGTCCTTACAATCCTCTTTCCTTTAATTATGCACTTTCAAGGCCCAAAAATGTGTAACCTTAGTACTTGGGTATTTATTCTTGATTGGCCATATCCATTGGCTAAAGCTTCATAAGATTTGAAACTATTCTCCTTTGATACAGCTCCAAGGTAGATAGACTAGGTTATAGCTTAGTACATCTTCCTATATTTCCTTGCAAGTACGGATAGCTGTAGTTTTTATGCAGCAAATAGTTATACAAAAAATGTTACTTTCTCAAAAAAAAAAAAAAAAGGTAGATAGACTACTTAAAGCCAACATGAAGGATTTGGGACTTCATGGAACTAAGGGCCTGTTTGATTGGCTTTTGACTTAAAAGCCTTCTAACTTATGGTTTTGGCTTATTTTTATCATTTTAGCTTAAAAATAAGTGCTTGTAAGCACTTTATAAATTTATCCAAACACTCCAAAATGCTTTAAAAGAACTTAAAATAAGCCAATCCAAATAGGCTCTAACTCTATGATTAATGAGAAGTTTACAGATAATGATTTTTTTTTTTAATGAAGTAAGATGTTATATATAGCTGGCATCAACAAGGTACAAAACTAGAGCAGTTTACAGATATTTAACCTTCATAACATATACTGCATGGTTTAAAAGTATCTTTATACAAGTCCACTCGATGACATCCACGAAAACTGAGGCACACTTCATTCCACGAAAACTGAGGCACACTTCATTAAAAGCGAGATAATGGAAAGTTTTAAGAGTGTAAAGCAAGTTGTGAGCAATGCAACAAAAAGGCCAAAATAAACCAATTATGTGTACGATTGAGTCTATCCAAGAATTTCATGGCATTAGAGGTGCTTGAAGCATCGCAATTTGGTAAGAGATAAGTTCGAAGTTGGTTTTTATTCTTCACTCTCATATTAGATAACTTGGTTCATTCCATTCTTGGAGATGAGAAGGATCCACAGGAAAGACTATAGTATCTCCAACCAAAGGAAAGAATAACATGGAAGTAACTGTTTGGACAGCAATATGTGAAGGTATCAAATAGTAAGTTGTTGCTTGGACTATTCAAAAATGCCTTCGGGTGCGTGTTGGATCCTCCAAAAATAGTGCATTTTTCAAAGATCCAACACGATTTGACAGAATTTTTGGAGAATCTGAGCAATGTAGATCATAAGTACAATTCCGTTCATAATCTCATCTTACACAAATAAATTGGATCCTTAAGGATCTCAGATTTTATCTCTGACCAACCAACTCCTAATCACATTACTAACTCTACCCCTGTAGACTCCATATCTCATCTTGTTGCTATGACTTTTTGCAAGTTTAAAACCTCAGTAAGATGCAGAATCCCTTTAATTTTTATATTTGTAATTAATGCAGAATCTTGAAATAAAGTATCAAAGTGCAAAGGACTTAAAAATCAACCTAGAGAAGAAACGACGGAAAAACTAAAAAATCAAGATGCAAAAGATCAACGAGTGCCTTTAAATTAGCCAATGCCTATTATGTCGCTTTTTCACTAAGAAATTGTCAGAGAAATATCAGGTGCACATTTAATGATTTAAATATTCATCAGCAAGATACAATGACTTATTCAAATACCCATATTCCGAGGTCATTTATTAACCATAAGCAAGAAAAAAAAGCTAAGCAATTCATTCACAATATCATACAATATGCAACTAAAACATGATCACATGATTACCTTCTCTTTAACAGCTTCTTCTCTCTTTGAGATCTGCTGCTGCTTCTGAGATATACTAGGACTCGGTTCGACATCACTCACCAGCTGCTGCTTCCATTCAAATTGAGATGTGATTATGAGTACAATCAACAGAAAAACAAGCAGCATTGGTCTTGACATCATTACAAACTACTCTCACACAACCTGCCAGCAAATCCCACAAACGAAACAAAACACATATTATCATCAACAACTGGATCAACTTAAAAAAAATCATAACAGAACCCACCTTCACTATAATCTAGCTAAAATAAGGCAGTAATGTCCTCATTTGTATTTTATTCAATAGATTATTGTAGTGCCTTCACTTATTCAATTATTAATGTGCTCCCAAACCTACAAGTTTACATCATAAAAGCTGATTTTTGGCAATTCATATGAACCTAAAGAGAAAAAAAAACCCAATTACAGTGCTCCATACTAAAATTCCAAGTAGCAAAGCATTTACAAAAAGGATAGAATTTACAGAAAATCAGTAACCCTGTTATAGCAAGTAGACCTTATCTTTCTTTTTATTATTTTTTAATTTCAAATTCCACACATTTCCAAGAGAACCTAGATAGAGGGTACATAAATTAACCCAAAAAAAATTAGAATGCTCCATGACTAAAATCACAAGTAACAGAACAGTTTAAAACATGGAAAGAATCTCAAAAAGAACCAGTTGTAGCAACAAAGAACTAATCGTTTTCTCTTTTAGTTTGAAATTTCCACAAATTTCCTAGATACCCAAATGGAGAATACAGAAATTAACCAAATAACTTAGAATGCTTCATTACTAAAAACCCAAATAACAGAACAATCTACAACAGGGATAGAATCTTTAGGGGAAAAAGAACCCAGTAGCCTTATTGTAACAACAAAGAACTGATCTTTTTCAGTTTTAACTTGAGATTCCACAAACTTCCTAGACACCCAAATGGAGACTACAGAAATTAGCCAAGTAACTTAAGGATACTCCATTACTAAAAAAAACAAGTGAAAACACAGTGTAAAACATGGATAGAACCTCAAAAAAGCCAGTTATAGCAATCAAAAACTGATCTTTTTCACTTCTAATTTGAAATTCCATAAATTCCCTAGAGTCCAAAACATGGATACAATCTCAAAGAAAGCCAGTTGTAGAAACAAAGAACTGATCTTTTCACCTCTATTTTGAAGTTCCACAAATTTCCTAGAAACCCAAATGGAGAATACAGAAATTAACCAAATAACTTAGAATGCTCCATGACCAAAAAAACTCAAGTGAAAAAACAGTCCAAAACATGGATACAATCTCAAAGAAAGCCAGTTGTAGAAACAAAGAACTGATCTTTTCACCTCTATTTTGAAGTTCCACAAATTTCCTAGAAACCCAAATGAAGAATACAGAAATTAACCAAATAACTTAGGATACACCATAACTAAAAAACCCAAGTGAAAAAAACAGTTTAAAACATGGATACAATCTCAAAAAATTCAGTTGCAGCAAGTAAAAAACTGATCTTTTTCCACTTTTAAAATGAAATTCCACAAATTTCCCAAATACCCAAATGGAGAATACAGAAAAATTGACCAAATAACTTACAAGATCTAAGCTTGAAGTGGAGTTCAACTAACCATAGGTCCTGTAATTGTGAAGAACAAAAAGGGTCTTCTTGGATTACACTCTTTGTTTCTTTTTTCTATTTTTTTTTTTTTGTGAGTTTGATGTTGAACTTCTGGGAGTTTCAAACTGCTTCCACTGAGAACAATTCAAATAGTGAAATTGAGATTTTGAGAGCAAAAATGATAGATTATGAATTTATGATGATAGTTAATTTGGAGAATTATTGGGGAAAATTCAACTGCAGCTAACTACTCTTTTTATTTCAAGTTTGAGAGAAAAGATTTTTGGAAATTACAATAAGGTTACCATAAGTTTCATAAAAGATAATTTTGGCACAACTTTCTTTTTCCTTTCCGATAAAATCGTAGCCGCTACTCTCATGCAATAGCTCCCAAATCACATAGCAGAGGTAAGATGTACTATGCAAGCACGGTGCAATCAACTTGATCCAGAAGACAAATCTCTTGCTTTTGCTAGCAAGATGTTTCAAATTTGAGACCTCGAACATGAAAGTCTTCTTTTTCCTTTTTTTGTCTTGCTAGGAGTGGTTAGGCTCGACCTTATCTTGTTACACTACCTTTTATTCACTCTTCATATTTTAAATTTGGAATTTATCTTCGATAATACTTGCAAGAGTTTCATGTCAATGTAGAGATAGTTTGAAAAGCAAAAGTAGATTTTTTGCTTTAACTGTAATGATATTTGTACTAGATAAAATAAGAAGCACTCTTTCTTTCACCTTCCCTTATATAGAGTTATTGTTTCTATTAAACAAAAAGAAATATGACTCAACATTTCATATACTAGATTGTGGACAAAATCAATATTTAAAATAGGAGGAAGTTTGGGAGAGGACAAAAAACGCATCAGTATTGTAAACACGAGACTGTTAATACTCCAGGTGAAATAACAAGAAGACTTTAAATCGCGGCCTAAAGATAAAGGACTTGTATGTATCTTGTCTAGTATACATAATCACCATCTTTGGCACCAAACAAGCTAAGAATTTATGCTTACAAAGTTAGGCATTTCAAACTTGGGTCTTGATATTCATCTTCATTTAATTTATTTCATAGTCATTTGTTTGTCAAGATGAGCTATGTTACAATGAATAATATTGTAACATATTTTCCCTCAAAGGACTATTATAACCATCCTCTGAATGATCAGATGCAGATTCAGGATTTCAAAATAATGGAGGCACTACTGGTTATGTGGCTACAAACCTAAGTCTACACACAAGGATCATTTGTACACCCTGTATCAATCAGTGCAGCTATCAGACCATTGTGATTTGTGAATGAGGGTACCAATCAAAATATATAACTCATATTAAAGATATATATATACTAGTTTTTCGACACGTGCGTTGCACGTGATTATCAATTCAGAAAATTTAAGTGAAGATTTGTTTAATAAGCTTTCCACAAAATAATATTGCAGATTTTTTTGTAAATGTTCAATGTGGATCATCATATATATCTCTTATTCACACGAACCTATGAAGATGATCAATGAAATTTTTATTAGTTAAATGCAATAATGTATATATTTATTTCAATTTGATGAGGTTCAATCATGTAATTAGTCGTATCTCACTAATATTACCTTATAGACGATATTTGTTGTATATTTTTCTTGTCATCTAACCAGATGTGTTTTGCACGTGTATTCCACTTAATCTGTTTAGATGTCATATGAACATAGGGAGAACAACTACATTTTATTTTTTAGAACTATTTTTGTATATTAATTTTTATTTTATAAGTTATAACATAATAGATGATATTCTTTTTGTTGTCTCTCATATTTAATTTTTTGATTGACTGTGTACATAAATCAAAGACAGTTATGTGACTGTCCATAGTTAACTGAGAAAGATTTCCTTTTTTTTTATCGAAAAAAATAAAAATTTAAATTAAAAAAATATATTCTAATGAAATCATATATATAATCACTTGTTTATCTTACACCCAACAAAGATATAGTTCATATACTTGTAAAAAAATTCAATTTATTCAACCAAGCATGATTCATCCAAGGAAAAATAACAACACCGTGTTATCACATATATAAGGGCGGTACAATAATATGAAAAATTATTGGTCAAAAGTTAATGTAATAACAATGAGAATTCATAATATTATAACTAAAGAGTATAAAAGAGTGTGAATAACATTTGCAATAATAATGAGTAATAACTAAGAGAATTTATAATGTTACGACTAAAAATTTAATGTGCAATAGATGAATTTCTAATAAATTTTATACTTATATAAATAAATAAGATTTTTAATTAATGATACTATTTTATTATAGTTATTAGATTTTAATTTAGTGTAGGGACAAAATGAAAATGTTTATTCGATATTATTGAATCTAAAATTTATTTTGTTAATGATAAATTTTAAATGATTCATATATATTCACATATTTACACATTTTTGTGAGTTATTTAAAAAAAATAATGTTTGAATTAATGAAAATATATATCTCATAAAAATTAGCTATTAAATAAATAATAAAAATTAATCTAATACAGACTTCAACTGGCGTTATTAGAAGTCATATGAACTTTTCTTCATCGAAAATACTGAAATATTAAGAAATACTAAATCAGTAAAATAAAAGGGCAATGTTTACATAGTAACAACTATTTTGAAGCAAACTTCCTGACAATCTAAATCACATAAGTAGCATTGATAAATAAAGTCATTCTTTTGTCTTGAGCATCAAAAAAATAAATTGTGACAATTCTCTAACTTTTGAGAAGTTTAATAATTTTGGAAAAAAATATTCAGAAACATATATATACATCACAAGAGAAATTGTTAACAAAAACAAATGAATTTATACTACAATAAAAATTAAACTAATACAAACTTCAACTGACGTTATTACAAGTCATATGAACTTTATTCGTTGAAAATACTGAAATATTAAGAGAATAGTAAATCAGTAAAACAAAAGAGCAATGTTTATATAGTAATAACTATTTTGAAGAAAACTTCCTGACAATCTAAATCACATAAGTAGCATTGATAAATAAAGTCATTCTCTTGTCTTGGGCATCGTAAAAACAAATCGTAATAATTCTCTAACTCTTGAGAAGTTGAATAATTTTGGAAAAAGATATTCAGAAGCATATATCTACATCACAAGAGAAATTGTTAACAAAAACAAATGAATTTAGACTATAATAAAAATTAAACTAATACAAACTTCAACTGACGTTTTTACAAGTATATAAACTTTTTTTTGTAAAAAATACTTAAATATTAAGAAATAGTAAATCAATAAAATAAAAGGGCAATGTTTATATAGTAATAACTATTTTAAAGCAAACTTCTTGACAATCTAAATTACATAAGTAGCATTGATAAATAAAGTCATTCTTTTGTCTTGAGCATAAAAAAAAATCGTGACAATTCTCTAACTCTTGAGAAGTTTAATAATATTTGAAAATGATATTTAGAAACATATATCTACATCACAAGAAATATTGTAAACAAAAACAAATGAATTTAGAATACATCATGCTAACTTCATCTATTGGAACATTACATACTATTGTATATACTAAGCAAAAAAAAATTCATTATATCATCAGAATTATTTTCCTCAAGTACTCGAGGTTAAGGAATATACCCTCTTACGATAGAACAATTTACTTCATCAGAATACTGGTACATTATATTCCGCTAAACTTCGAGCTCACTCAATGACAGTAAATCACACGAAAATTTTAAAATGCAAGAAGAAGAAGAGTAGAAAATTAAAAAAATTGTGGTTGAAAAATGAGAGAAAACCCCTCTATTTATAGTCACAAAAAGAAGTATGAACAAGTGTTTTTTGTGTCTTATATGAAAATTCATGACCTTGCCAAGAAGTCACAACTATTTGGAAAAATCACAACTCTTTGGAAAAGTCACAACTCATCGAAAAAATCACAACCTAAGTTAGGGATATTATAGTAATTTAACATTCAAGTTAGAAGTTCATGCTTTTAAGGCAATTAGATATATATATATATATATTTCCGAAGCACGAGATTCAACCTACTCTAAGGGTAGGTCTGCCTCTGACTATGACTAGATCATCATCAAAGCGTCATATGATCTGAACATGCCAAGTTGGTTGACAAACCCGAGGACAAAACCAGATGCACAAAACAAGAAAACACAAAAATATGGTAATGTAACTTGAACTTCCCTTTGGCAAGTCCAGATAAGGATTTCTTTCTAAGGGCTCACAAAACAAGCCTTCCCAACATGTGAACCAGAGTTGAAATTGTTCCTGCAAAAAATAATGAACAACCGCCGCGCATATTATATAGCTACATATCTTTACAAATTACAAGGTATTATACAACAATGTAAAATTAAAGACACCAAAACCTTAAGTTCTATTATTACTATTATACAACTCTACAAAATTTACAAGGTGTCATCCTGTACATTACTGGTAAAGTACAGATCTTGGACATAAGCAGAGCCTACTTAAAATGCATCAAAAGCTGAATCAACTTTCTCTTAACTGCCACTCTAAATACTACAAAAGACATCTATGCTGGCGTGAGATTAGCTTCAGCTGGAGTAATGCCATTTTACTTGTTGTGGAACTCCGAACAAACAAAGAAACACGACCAGTAACATCAAGGAAACGAGAAGTAGAGGTATCGGCCATTGCTTCATCCTTTTAACTGGAATTATGTTAATCAACTGTCTACTGATGCCCCGAGCATGGATATTCTTCTTAATGGCTTCATGCGGTTCAGACCTCTCTACTCCACGGGGTACATTTTCCGTTTGTAGTTTTAGTCTTCGATTTGCAGTGCCCTGGAAAGGCAGCCTATTAGACATCAGATTTTGGGCTTCCTGAGACGTTGGCGACTTTGTAGAGGATTCAAGCTTCCTAGTGATTGTTGGCAACAGATTGTGTCTTGCCTTGTATGAAGAATCATCTAGCTTAATGATATCATCTTTCATTATATCAGCAAAACAATCCTCTTCATCACAATCCTGGAATTTGATACAGCAAGACATTAGGACCCGAAAGTTTGACCTCAAGAGTACTAAGTCATCAAATTCGGAGAATAGAGATAAACAGAAAGAACAGCTTAGAGATAACTCGAAGGAGCTGACTGCTCTATCACCTCATCCTACTTCTAAAGATAAAGAAAGAAAGAAACGGAATGTCCCTACGAAACTGAGGAAATGCCAATGTCATGGCGAA